CACACTTTAAACCAAAAATACCAGCCTGAGGATATCTATCTATCTATCTATCTATCTATCTATCTATCTATCTATCTATCTATCTATCTATCTATCTGATAGATAGATGATAGATAATCATCTACTTTTTTTCACAATATGCTTCCATTATTTACACTGTCAATTGTTAGCATAAAACATAGCATAACAGCACAACACATTATTTGAATATAATGAAATTTAAACATATGTCTTTTTTAAATATATGTTATGATCCTATTTATTTGTACTTACTTCTTGTAGTGTATTTTCCTTGTTCGTGGTCTCATTTTTTTGAACAGATCTGGATCCTGAAGTTAAATTTTGTGAACTTTCTGTTTTTCTAACTGTGAAATACGAGTGGAATGTTATGGATTACAAAATTAATAAATTGATTTGAATATGTTTATTCCATTTTTTAAAATATACAATTTTATAAGTTATGAAAATATAAATCTGTGTATTTACATTTATATAACATTAAATTCATATCATAAGTATTATTAAACATATTTAATTAATTATTGGATATATTAACAATCATAAATGTATAAATAAAATGTGGTGTACTCTTTTTAAAAGGTTTAAAAAAATAACTGGTAAAAATTAGTGTGTTGAATGTAGGTTTAACTGAGGTTAGTTACTTTGCAAACTGCAAAATCTCATTAAGTATTTAGGAAAAGAGCTGGCTTTGAAAAATGACAGTTATTGCCTTCTGGTGATTAAAAAAATACTACCTAAAATATATGATCACTGAATATCAAGATCTTGCATAATGTAATGGTTTCCAAATGACTGCAAATCTGCTACATGTGAAGGATGCCCATTTATAAAAAGTCATTTATAACATGGTTGATTAAAATGTTTCTTCTGTTTTTGCATCCGTTTCACAGAGGCAGTTTGATGTAGAGATGAAGGTGTTCTAGTCCACCCTTAGGCAGGAAAGCGAACTGTATAACTTTGGACCAGATACACTTTCTCAGCCCAATCCATCTCTTAGGATTGTTGTTTGCCAACTTCAGTTGTATAAAAAAGGTGAGATAATAATATATATGTTGGTTTATGATTGTAATGAACATTTGTTTTGTTTTGTTTTTTTATATCTGGGGTTGTTGCCTTGTATGGGACATTTATATTCCAACAAGGAAAGCTGTTTAAATATGAGTAATCTGATTCATATTTATTTAAAATAAATTCTACTGAATTGACTGGGTTTTATTTTTGCTATGTTAGTATATGCTTTATATAAATGGGCTATAATTAAAAATTGCCATCAGTCTTACTGGTATAAATGTAAAAAATGAACTTTTAAATCATTGTTATTATAAAAATTAATAATGAATTGTTGTATTTTTAAAATGCTTGGACAGATTTGTAAACAATAGAAGACAGAAAATGGCATAGTAAATAAATTTAACACATGGTATGAATAATGTTTCAGATGTTGTTACATGCAGCGATACGAAAATAATTCTTTCTCAAAGTGTTTCTAGATTACCTTGGAAAACATCGGAACTGCATTGATCTCTAATATCAGAGGTACTACTGCTTCGAGTTAATTGATCCAGGTCTGAAAAAGGACTCTTATATTCTGCTCCCAATAAGTTTACTGGTTGCTGATTCACAATTCCTGATCCATTTTCTGATAGTTCCTGTTGTTCACTTTCTATAGGGATTGATATAAAAGTTTTATCAATTACATTTTTAAAATATCTGTATCTATTTCTTATAAAGGTCTTTGACTTATTAAAATATTTACATACTTATCAATTAACATATAAAACATTGTCACTTAGCTACAAGGTAAACATATAATACAATTTAAGCCATTGTACTATTGACTTGTGATGGGAATGTCCTTTGATCTGAAGTATGAAGGGATATCTAAAACTACTAAGAACTTATCAGAACACCCCTTTCTTCTCAGCAAAATTAATTTTTTCCAATAAAATAAATTCCTTTATGTAAGAAATATGGTAGCTGTAAAGAAATTTCAAATATCAGCTTTTGTTTCATTTATCCTTTTTAAAAAATGTATTATGTTTTGAACTCTGTGCAAGAAATACTTGTACAATGATTGAAATAGAAACAGTTCTAATTATGAATCTGATATCCCTGTATGTGATTGGAAGTACATCTGGCCATTTACTACAAGAATAGGTGGAATGCCATAATGGGAAAACAAGGGCTGACAAACTGCTGCTGCCATATGTTTGATTGTTTGAGATATGAACTAAAAATTACGCTACCATGAGAATGCAGACAGAGTATGTCTCAATATTACCCAGAGCTATCCATAATTCAAAATAACTCTACTGGCAACTTTTAAGAAGTGCACTTAAAAGTACTAACTACATTGAATTCTGCATTTATACTCATTGTTATTTATTTATTTATTTATTAGACTTATATACCGCTTTATAGGGCTTTCAGCCCTCTCTAAGTGGTTTACAGATTTTTAGCAAATTGAGTCAGCAAATTGCCCCCATAGTCTGGGTCCTTATTTCACCCACCTCGGAAGGATGGAAGGCTGAGTCAACCTTGAGCCGGTGAGATTTGAACCGCTGAACTGCAGATAACAGTCAGCTGAAGTGGCCTGCAGTACTGCACCCTAACCACTATGCCACCTCGGCTCTTGTTGTTACCTATTCTTTGTTGTGGTATCTATGATTTACCCATAAAGTGAAAGCACATAAGAATATATTAAACTGATATATAATATACAATTGTAACATAACATTGACCTCCAATTTTTCATATTTATTTAGTAAATCTAGTTATTTTTTTTTTGTATTGGTTGAATCTTCATATCTGTGTTCAATGATATTTCCACAGACTACATCTGCAAGGCTTTCCTCCTGAAATATTCACACCCAATATTTCAGTGTAGCATTTTATCTTACTGTGTGCAGTCGTAAAACCCAGAGACATGAGTTTTTTTGAGAAATGCAATAATTCTGGACCTCAAGATAAGAAGGATCAGTTTTTAACAAATATATATTTTGAATTCCTCAGATGTCAAAATGTTATGTGGACAAATGAACAAGTTGGTTTGTGAAACCAGCATAAGCCTATTTACCCCCCATATTTTTCATAACAAAATGTGAGTTTCAAGTTATTTAATAAAATCTTCCTTGGGAAATTGGTTTATAGTATTCTGGTTCCAAAAACATGACTCCTCTTATTGTTGTCATGCTTCCAATACTTCTAAATTTAAATGGGAATGGCTGGAATTTGTAGTTGTGTCCGAAAACTGTATCAATCTGGGAAAGACAAGAATCCTAGCAGACATGATTCCTAGTTGATTTGTAACTATCAGTCCACAAGAAGAGCAGGACAGCCTCCTAGCCTCTCCATCTATGACAAAAGTGGAAGAGGCAATAATAGACTTGGCAGCTCTTCTATTGAACAGCAGCATTTCTAAAGGGGAATGAAGGTATTAATGGAAAAATAAAATCACATCAATGAACTCAATGCTTCTGCCATATCACTCAACAAAAGCACTCTCGAGTCTAGCAGCAGGTAGCATCCCTGAAAGGAGGACAGACAGTGGAGATGGCAGCAAGAGCTGGATGATTTAACAATGGAAGCAGAACTTAAGTGCGCAAAGAGGACTTACAATATCAGCCATCTTTTGATAGATCTCTGGTATCATTTAGTTGCTCTGCTTGTGGTAGAGTTTGGAAATCTTACAGTGAGGACTTGCATCCAAAAGAAGCAGAACAAATAAAGTATTTGCATTTCCCATTTGCCCTTCCTCTTAAAATAAATTCATCTTGCTAAGATGATTGACCTCCAGTTGACAAACATGGGTAAATCAGTGGATATTGCCACCATTCTCTTAGCAGGCTATCCATCCAACTCCAATTCTATAAAAAATTGTATCACGATTAGGAACTAGAATCATAGTTAATTCCCTTTCCTCATTTTCTCAAATACAGTTGGCTAAATTGGAAAAGAAGCTTAAAGATATAAGGGAATTGGAATATGTGTGTGTCCATGATGTGATTTCCTGTGAGCTGGGGAAAATCAGCTGCTGATTTAGCTACATAGCGAGAAAAGGGAGGTGTCAAGAATAGGTAGTGTGAGGATTTATCTCATTCAAACTGTACTATCCAATGATTATTAACAACTTGAGAATGTTGTAGAAGTCTAAGGAACTGCTATATTTAAAAGTAAACAATTAGTCTCTCATAGTATAAAAGCATATATTGTGTATACAAATATATGTATATGTGTATATATATATATGTGTTGCATTTGTGCTGATAAATAAATAAATAAAGGGAGACTAGTATAGATCTGTTTCAAGCTATTTAGCTCTCATCAGCTAGCCATATCCTTACTGGGATTCGAACCTGGGCTGTATTACATATTAGGCAGCTGTATTAGCCACTAGGNACTGAGGAGAAATTTCCTGACAGTTAGAACAATTAATCAGTGGAACAGCTTTCCTCCAGAAGTTGTGAATGCCCCAACACTGGAAGTCTTTAAGATGTTGGATAACATTTGTCTGAAGTGGTGTAGGCTTTCCTGCCTAGGCAGGGTGTTGGACTAGTAGACCTCCAAGGTCCCTTCCAACTCTGTTATTGTATTATTTTTCAGACATTAAGAGAATTTCCAATGACACTGCTAGGATAGGTATTTTTAAAAAATTTATCATTCCAGAATCATGCAAATAAATAATAAACATTTCTTAGATTTCCACTAGGTTCTGCATTGAAATAAAGTATTATCTATTTTTGAATTTGATCACAAGAAAATAAACCGCTTACACATGTTGGAGAATGTCAAATGCCCCTGAGTAGGTAAAACAGGTACTTTTTAGGAGAAATCATATATAGAGACCTCATGTAAACACATGATCTCCTTGCATGACCTTTCAAACAAGAGCCCTCTATATTATTTAGAATAAGCTATAAAATTGCATTGGAATGCAATATTTGTTTTTAGTAAATAAATAGCATTTACCATTTTTCTCATTTTATACAAATAATTCCATTCATTTCCTTATCAGTTACCTCTTCCTTTTTGTATTTTCTCTTTTTGTTCACTTAGCTTATCTAGTGGCAAGTTGGTCATTTCAACACCGTATACTGTTCTTGCTAAAACAGATGTTAGAGAATCCATTATATTAGCCCATTCCATTATTAGTTCTTCCCAATCTGTAAGGGATGATAGTACACGTAGCAACTCGTCCCAGAGCTCACGAGAAATATAAACACTCAAATTTGCCCGGATCCAAGCCACGATGAGAGTCTGTGGTTAAAAGATAAGGAAGAAAGGAGAACAGATTGGATTATCATCTTGAAATGAATGAAATTCAAATGAACTGGTTTCTAGGTAATCCTTGATTTATAACCATTAATTTAGTGACTGTTCAAACATTACAATGGCACTTAAAAAAGTGACTTATGACAGTTTTCACACTTATGAGAGCTGCAGCATTCACCACAGTCAGGTGATCGAAATTTAGATGCTTGGCATTTATGACAATTGCAGTGTTTCAGGATCATGTGATAACCTTTTGTGACCTTCTGAGAAGCAAAGTGAATGGGGAAGCATACTAACAAACAGCTACAGTGATTCACTTAACAACTGTGGCAAGAAAGGTCGTAACATGGGTATTTGAGTATTTTGAGTATTTATTAATATTTGTATGCCGCCCTTTTCCCTGGGGGGACTCAGGGCGGCTCACAGTTCAGGGGGCGGGGAAGACAAACCAAGTTACATGTAGGACAATACATCATTAAAANAAATCTTCATTCTAAAGGGCCTCTGGCTGCAGCCAGGATATTTTTGCAGAGAATTGGTATTAACAAAAGTAATTCTTCCTAGCTTGCTGTTCAATTTTTTGCAATGAATACCATTTTGTACTACATGCTAAAGGTGTGATGGGTAAGGAGAATGCCTGTCAGTAGCTGGCAATTTGTAACACATTTAATAGATGCCTACACTCATTTTGATGCTATATGCCAGCAGTCTCCAACCTTTCTAGCTCTAGGGATCGGTTTCATGGAAGACAATGTTTTTGCATGCAACCTACATCCTGGGCATGTACAGATGAAGTTTTGTGGTTCCTAACAGGCCATGGACCGGTACCAATCTGCAGCCTGGGGGCTGGGGAACCCTACTATAGACCATATCTCCATTACAAATATAGAAATCTTTGCAAGAATTTATGAGAAGTATCTGGAATTGATGAGTAGGCAACATATGATGTTATGAAGCATGAACTCTCTGGCGAAAGTCCTGTCCCATTTAAAAAGGTTTTCGGGTCTAAGCAGTGTTTCATCCATGTGTGACAAACAGAGACCTCAAAGATATAATTAGGAAGTGGCCAGCTAAACATGAGTTCTCTGTGGAAACTAACCCTGGATTTTTCAAGAAACCACTATTAAAACAAGCCATGATTTAAATTAGTAACGATGAATGAAGAAAAGTGAAATACCACCATCACCACCTGGCAACACTGGAGTTGAAAATGTCTTAATAGAAACCCCAGAAAACTTGTAAAAGAAACTGGGAGAAAATCAGAGGAATATATTTTACAGTAGAGGTAAATCAAAGTTGCTGAAAAATTACAAGCATTTTTGAACATTGAAAGAATGCAAAAGTATTTGTTATGTATTTTACAGGAATTTTGTTTTTACTCTTAGAGCTCCAACCATTTAAAACTATATAACCTATAACAACATTGAACCTGCCAGTCACAATAATCTTGTAATTTAATAACAAAGGCCTTTACATTATACATATACAATCTTTGAATCTTTCATAAAATTAAAGAACCAAATTACATTCTTGAAAACATCTGCACACATATACAGTAACTACAGGTTAAACCATACATATAGGAATTTAAAAGGTTGTTTCAATCAATACAATGCAACTTTCCACTGAATAACCAGAATAAAAAACCAAGTATGTGCTGCCAAATTATAACATCATGATGATTGCATGAATAACCCAACTATTTTTAGATACAGATATGTGAAATCTCAATTAGTTTGCAATCCCAACTACTATTTTCTACCATCCTACAATTTAAAAATGTTTAATTTACATATTGATTAATTCTATATAATTAATAATGAATAACCAAAACAGAAAGTTCCCCTTGCTACTCCCATCTAAGTTAAGTGTCTTTTACTAACTGGACCAGAAATACGCACTCCAATATTTGATTGACATACAAATTCTAAGCCAAAGGAAGGGTTGCTAGATCTTTAGAAGAGTCCTAGGGCAATAAAAACAATTTATATGCAGAATTATATAAAAGCCACAACAAAAAACAGGTTGTTTAAAAAAAACAACTCAACAAATCAAAAGAAATATGAAATGTTAGAAATTAATTTTTTTTTAAATCACTGACATTTTTATTATTAGTACACAAAATGTCCTGTTTCTAACCTGTTGTTCTCTGACGCACTATATTTCTTGCTTTCTCCATTCCTGGTATTCCTGAGGTGGTAGCACTCCTAAATCTCATAGGTTCCGCAACCTCAGGATGATCTCTCCAGCTTAAAGAAAACGATCTTCCAACTGCAGCTCCTTTTTGAGATTCCAAAATGCCACCTTTCAATAATGGAATGTACAGCAAAATTAACCTTAATGTACTTTGGGAATTCAAGAAGATCATATTGTAAATAAAAATCCAATTGACAAGAACAGTTAACCAACTGATTAATTTCCAATACAAGTGCCTAAGCAGGAATTGCCATTTAAATTGTTTAAAATGATTTCTAGCACCAAAACTGTAAACAAATTCTGATTTCAGGAATGTAATTAAGGAATAATTAGATAATGAACACAACCCATTGGAAACCTCTCCAATAAATGAGTTTTTCTAAGAATTTGCTGAAGCAGGAATTTAATGCTAGCCATGTCAATAAAAACAGTAAAAGAAAGGTATTAGAAGTTAATACCACTTTATAATGCCTTGGTAAGGCCACACTTGGAATACTGCATTCAGTTTTGATCACCATGATGTAAAAAAGATGTGGAGACTCTAGAAAGAGTGCAGAGAAGAGCAATAAAGATGATTAGGGGACTGAAGACTAAAGCATATGAGGAATGGTTGCAGGAACTGGGTATGTCTAGTTTAATNCGCCAGGGAAATAGGTATGTATTGTGTCACAACCCCTGGTATGCCCAAATATGGGAGGAAGCATACTACTTCCTTTCTCTGTCCATCGGCCCATCACAAGAGACCATCACGACAGAAAGCCATTATTTTTACTGTTGCCTTTGTTATATATATTCATTGACAAGTGAGTATTGTTCAAGGGAAATTGGTACATGTCTAGAGAATATTTGGGTTTCAGTCTCAAAGAAACATGGGAATCTAAACAAGATTTCAGATTGTTAATGCTTACTTTCCGACATACTTGGAAAAACACCAATGTGTTCTCAAAATACAAAATCAAAATACAATATTATGTAATATTAGGATGTTGTACGTTAAGATATAGGGTAAAATAAAGAAGAAAACAATCTTGCTAAATTATAACAACTGTATAATATCATACCTGAAAAAGTGCAAGAGTAAGAAGTGTAAGAGATATCAGGGAAGAGAGAGCTCACAGTATGAAGGAGAAGAGGCACACTTTTAGTGGCTGGCAAAGCCTCACAGAGACGAGCACAGTTGTTGATAGACAGACTTCGCTTCGCTTATAGGGAAAAATAAATTAATAGGAGCAATTTTATTTTACTTGGCAGAATGATGTTTTTTCCACATATAATAGAAAATAACATGTTTAGAATCTCACAAACATGAATGCTGTGCATATACAATTCATTAAGGTAAAAAAGCAGTGCAGAAGAAATTCAGTAAAGTGTATCTATCTCCAAGGTTATCAGTATTCAAGGTTATTTTTTTTAGAAAGCCAGTTTATTAGAAAAAAGAACTAGAGGACAGATAGAAAATCTCGCTTTTGGAGCTTCTGTAGCATTAATGTTGCTAATCATCCTTAATTCTCTGTGTTACTGATTCTATAGAGGGGCCGCAGTGGGTCATGTGGTAAGATGATGGGCCTGCACACCGCTGAGGTCAGTGGCTCAATTCCCATAAGTGAAAAAAACGTGTAGGTGTAAGGTGTATGAGCCTCCCCCGATTGCCTATTGACATTCACGCATCCCGCGGGTAAAAGTAACACCACCCGAAAAAATTCCTTTCACAGACGCAGCCAGCCACCTCGATGATCCCTGGCGTGCCATACGCTAAAAACAAAAACAAAAAAACCCCACCCTAATTCTATAAAAAGCACATCTTATGATTGCACATTGTATTACTAAAGAGAAAATGGCTACATCATCATCTAGGAATCTGTTAAGAAGATGGAAACAGTACAGTTGTGGCATAAAAGTAAATATAGTTTACCTGGTGATATCAGCATTGACAAAATCACCGTCAGTCAATTGGAGCTTTACTTGTTACATCCTGCAACAATTTAATACTTAACACCATCAAATAATCTGCCTATCCCAGATCCTTGAGAAAGATGACTAAAAATGCCAAATTGAGTCTAAACATTTGGCTGACTTTGCGACAAATAATAATCCATCAAAAACAACATCTGCCTATCCCAGGTCCTTGGGAAGCACTCGCTAAAGGGGTTAAAACGCCAAATCCAGTCTAAACACCTGACTGACTGTAATCCTCCTCATCATCAAGTTATCTTTGCTAAGGCCTAAAAACTGCATTGGCAGTGGTGCAAAATAATTAGACTTCAAATAGCAGTTTTGAGTATTCTGAACACAAAACAACATCGAGAATTTTGATCCTTATTAGTTCAACTTTCTCAGTGTTCCAAAGTTTTATTTTTAAAGAATGAACTGTTTTCCAGTACGCTGCTTGGAGAGTCCAAGCAATGGGTTAAACTCAGGCAATCTGCCCAGGACTGAATTGAAACTTTAGCCACCCCTCTGGTGTTGCCTTGACTTGCCAGATTTTTAATTAAGTCAAAGCCCAGTGGACGTGTTTCTCCGTTTCTAACACCCTCAGGCCCCAAGTGGCTGCTCTACCCACAATTCTTGCACCCGACAATCACTCGTCGCTTGGACGACACCCCGTCATCCGTAGCTTCCTGCGGGGTGCCACCAATCTGAGACCTCCGGTCGTCCATAGATACCCGTCATGGGAGATCGAGGTGGTGTTATGGCCCTTATATCAGCGCCCTTTGAGCCTCTACATTCTGCCAGTTTGAAACCTCACCTTTAAGACAGTTTTCTTAATTGCCATTACGTCTGCTCGACAG